TTCAATTACTTCGTTGGATACAATTATTGCTGAAACAAATACTTATGAAGCTAATACAGCATTAATTACTACTATAATCAATTCTTCCCATCTTTCTACAAGTCAAGTTTGGAATTATTTCGAAAGAAATAAAATTGAAGGAAAAGCAACATGTCAAGTAAAAATATTTGATAATGGATATCGAATATGTGGAAAAGCTTTAAATCTAAATGCAGGAAAATCAACAAGTAATTTTTGGTATCATCTAAAAACAGTACATGGAATCTTTAGTAAAGATAATACGATAGCAAACAAATATGAACAACAAAACAACATTGTAGAACAGGATTCTGTGCGAAGAAAAAGATTAAATTACAATTTAGTAAACTTTATAATTAAAAGTCAACAACCTTTTTTAGTTTTAAATGATGAAAGTTTTATTGATTTAGTTAAAGATTTGGATCCCAATTACAAGATTCCTTCAAATAAGGCAGTAAAAATAATGATAGCAGAGGTATTTGTTCACACTAAGCAATATCTTATTGATGAATTATCAGATTCTCTTTATTTTTGTTCATTAACAACAGATTTATGGACAGCATGCTCAAAACAAGAATATATAGGAATAACCTGTTCATATCTAAATAAAGATTTTAAGTTACGTGAAATACTTTTGGCAATTAAATATATAGCTTATCCACATACCGGAGAAATAATTGCAAATTTAATCAACGAAATTATTAAAGAATGGAATTTAAGCAAACAAGTATTCTGCATTACTACCGATAATGGAAGCAACATGATTAAAGTGATCAAACTTTTACCTGAAATAATTAGATTACCATGTACAGCCCATATATTACAACTCATAATTAGAAAAGGTCTTGTTCCATGTGAAGTACTTGTTGCACGTGCCAAACGATTGATCAGTTTTTTTATGACATCAAAACAAAGCGAAAAATTAGAACAAGTACAAAAAAGTTGAATATTTCGGATGATCAAATTTTATATAAGACAGATCATTATTTACGAGTTATTGCGGATGTTAAGACACGATGGAACTCATCTTATCTTGCATGGAGTCGATTAATAAAATTACAACATGCTATTAATATAATGATTAGTTTACTTGAAGCCGAATATAATTCTGACTCAAAACTTGATGCTAAACGACTTAAAAAAATCAACTTAACAACAACTGAATGGGATATGATTAAAAAACTTCTATCTGTATTACAACCTTTTGCCGAATTAACTAAATTTTTAGAAGGAAGCAACTATTCAACTATTAGTTTTATGTTTCATGCTATTACAATATTAATTAATGATCTTAAATCAAATGCAAATAATATAGAATCTATTGATTTTACAACAAATATAACTATATTTGATAATGATATTAATTATGAAGATATAATAGAAGAAATAGATGAAACGATTATTATTGGATCTCGCAAAATTTCTATTAATATACCTCAAGATTGTGAAGGGCTTTTATATCAAATTAAAAATACATTATATACAAGTTTACTTCATTATTATTCTATTCCTTCAGAAATTGATCTTATGGCCGCATTACTAGATCCTCATTGCAAATCACTTAATTTTATTTCTGATTCAAAAAAAAAAGAAACGATTAATATATTAAAAAATTTAGTTACAAATTCATACTTAGATCTTAGTAACAATTCTCAACAATTACCTAAAGAAGAAAATTTACTTATTATGTGAATGTTTCAATCACATTATTTACAAACTGATGAAATAACCAATTATCTTGCTCAACCAGAAATTTCTCCAACTTCCGATCCTTTTCTTTGGTGGGTTAATAATCAAGAAAGATTTCCAAATATTTCAAAACTTGCACATAAATATCTTTCAATATCTGCCACATCAGCACCTAGTGAAAGATTATTTTTAGATGCAGGAAACATAATAACAATGAGGCGTACTAATCTTAAACCACATGTATTTGAGCAAATACTTTTTTTAAAAAGAAATAATAGCTTAGTTAGTAATATTTTCTCAGAATTGTAATTTAATAACTAAATAAATATATTTTTATACATCTCGAATAATAAATTGAATTAATCGAATAATTAAATAGTTTAATCAAATAATAAATTATTTGTAGATCTTTATTTGATCAAATAATCGAATAGACGAATCCAATCCCTAGTCCTTTATCCGTGATACTGTAAAAGCTTGGATATATTTTAATATATTATAATTAGGTACAGTCTCGCGCGCATTTTTATAATTTTATATGGTTCGATATATAAATTTAGATTGATAATCGTCGATATCTCCAAATAATGATTTTGCCTCAAAGCATGGCTTTGCTGTGTACCAACCCATATAATAGTTATTTATTCCGTGGTACGAACTAATCCAAAAACTTATTTTTGTACGCATATACAACGATAAATTTTCTGTCCACAAAAACACCAATTATAGTATACAATATGACTGAGAAAATGAGTCATAGATAGAAATAAACTAGAAACGTCCAAACCAAAATGGACAGAATATATTAACATTGTATGTCTTCCTAACCAGTTGTTGAAACTTCGGAGTGCTAAGAATGTTTCATTTGAATGAAACTTTTGCTAAAGTCAGACCTGAATGACAGAGGTTCGTATACAAAATATTGACGGATCCACGAAAAATTTCTTGTTTTTTCCCATTCATCTACAAGCGAGGGCATTTTTTTATTGAAGCAGGAAATCAATATAGACTATATCACACATTCCATTAATAAATCCATGTCTCAAAAGTGAATAGAAATAACTATATAAAGGACAAAAGTCTTTTTAATAATGTGCTTGCCAGAAAATTGAAATAATATCACTTTTACATCAGATTTTAAAATACGTCATTTTTTTTGCGATGGTGGGCTGACTTCTATAAATAAGTCTGCTTTTGTTTGTAATTGATAAACGATTAAACTGTGAAGTCAAGTTGTTTTGCTCGGTCTTCAAATTTTCTCGCCTTACTTTCCTTCAGTGTCGTTTTGCCACTAAACAATGTGTTGATTCAGATCATCAAAGAATCTTATGATTCGGTCGAGATAATTTGTGATGAATTGTTTCGCTGATCCTTTCTTATAGATGAAGTAGGTAATGTTTTTAAACAACCCAAGACGGTATAGCCTGCGTTAACTATCAAAATTTCTTCATTCGCAAGCTGTTCAAGAAACCATTTTGTGACATCTTTACATGAATTTTTTATTGCCACCTTAATGGTTTTTCCAAATATTGATTCTCGATCAAGATTTGATTCAATTGATTTCCTAGCATGAATTTCGATTAATTGGTAGAGTAAAGGCGAGCCAAAAAGATTAATCATGACGTCTGAATTTGTAGTTAACATCAGGATCGAGAATAGTGCTAGTATTTCATGTACGTGGGACTCTACAAATAACCCCTTAGCTCTTTCCAGCTCGAGTGTCTTATTTTGATAGTTACAGAACAACAGAGATACAGATTTTCCTACAAAAAATTGTTGGATGTATCTTCTTCGAAGGAAGATCACATGAGACATTGTCAATTGATAAAATTTCACCGCTTTCCTCCAGGAATGGATTATTATCAGCATCTACAAGTATTTTATTTTTAAGTTACACCTCCGGAGGTTCTACCGCCAAATGGTTTGATTAGGTTCAATGTAATGTATTTATCCCAATAAAACCGTCTCTGCAATGGTCAGTTCAGTATCATTGTCAACATTCTTAAATGATATTTCATGAGTGAAACATGAGAAATGGTACTCATTTTTATATTATCACTCTAAATATTAAATTATGACATTATTAACTCTGCTGATTCTCATAAATTCAAGGTCAAATTATGCACCTGCATCCTTTCATCACTCCCTTAGTTTCCTTTCATCATTCTCTTAGTTTCCTTTCGACGTGTTATTTACATTGAAGGATCCACTATTAATCCGATCACCGAGTTATCCGTTGTAATTTGGTGAAATTGAACCGACGGCCACCACCGACTGATTCTTCTAATTTCGAACACATTCATAATAATCATGTCTCCAGCAGGAAATTTCGGTGTTAAAACTATTTATTGCTTTTAAAATTCTTTAGTCTCAAACACAAGAAATTCCTAAGGATAGTCTTGCGTACCAGCACTGCTTCGTAGCCTGTCCCAAGACTTGATTGACGTATGACTCAAAGTTCTAGCGCAAA